TCGGTGATCGCTTAATTCCATTTTGAACTTCATTGAAAGATTTTCCTTTGGCTGTGAAATAAATATCACATTCTGTAGCTAATTCTTGAGGCTTCAGCCATTTATTTCCTTGGCATATTGCGACGTGTGCGGCTGTTTCTTCATCTAAAGCTTGGAATAATTTATCCGAAATAAATAACTCCTTGAGTGTTTCGAAATTCTTTATTTCTCTTGACTTGCAGTAATAGTCCCATGTAGCTGTTAGCCTTGAAGCGAACTGGATATGCATTCCTTGGAATAATGTTTAGTTCTTCTGAAGTTTTCTAAACAGGTTTGAGGAGTAGGTTGGTATTCCTACAGAACAAGAGTTTTCACTTTTTCGTAATTTTGCAGATCTTCCTCCTTTATATAAACAAGAACATTTGAAGCTTTTCCTCCAATTAATTTCAATAATATTTTCGATTTGTATTCTTCGGGAACCTTCTTGTCCTTAAATGCTCTTTCGATAGAATCGAAAAATATATTCCATGCTTCTGCTCTCTTCGGTACTGGTATAGTCAGTGTTTCTACTCCTTTGATCAGCTTGTCGAGGGAAATTTCAGTTTCTCGTTCTGTGTTTTGGATTGAAGGTGTTGGACTTCTACTTCCTTCATTTTGAGTTGCTCGAATCTTCGCTAATTCTATTTTGTGTTTTCTTTCTGTTTTTAATCTTTCTTCTTCCATTTGTATTCTTTCCATTTCTTCTTTTATTTTTCTGTTCTCCACTGTAGTAACCAGAATTTCTTTCACAAAGTCAGCATCTTCGATGTATTCCTTGCTATTCTAGAGTTTGTGTTTCAGTTCTACCAGCTTCAAATCTGGGGATGCTTCTTCGCCAATTTCCAATAGAACTGTTACTAAATCCTCTTTCTTTGCGTTTTTGAACATTTTCTTCTATTTTCCTTTAGAATCAAGCTTTTCGAACTCTTGATTAAATAATTCTCATGTTTCTACTCCCTTTTGCAAATGTGTACTTCTTTCGTAAGTTAGGCTTAATGTTACTGCTTCGGTTTTCAACGCCCTAAGCTTCTAACCTCTCTGGTTCTCGTAAGAGAGTGTGTTGTAATGACTTTGTGGCTCAATAAGGCACCACTTAACGAGACAAAACAAACATTTATTAAAAATATGGTTCAAAGCATAATAGTAAGCTCAGAGCAGTACGTCGTTCTTACCGCATAGCGAAATCTACTACCTTCCTCTTCCGAGGCTAACATGCAACTCCCTTCAAATACCTTAACCCTTCTTGGAGAAGAGCTACATGCGCCACGCACGCTCTGTTGATCTCCAAACAGTCACCAGATATCACACACATTATGCTAGTTAGTAGAGACTATAAAGCTTATGAGTAAAAACAAAATATATCATTAATTAGCCTTCATAAGCAATTGTCACAGTTTTTCAAAATCGTGTGTATTGAATCTTTCAATAACGTATTATGTTTATTATTATTTTCTGCCTTTCAGTAAAAGTCTTGTTTTATGAATCTGAAATTTTTTGCAAGAAGATTCAGATTTAATGTTGTGCATGTATAATTAATAGGAAGTTATAAGAATAGATTTTAATTGTGAATGTTACATGAATTCTAAAATATTTCTTTATAATGCTGTTTTTTAGTACAAGAACATAGCATGCAGATTTAGAAATAAATTTGAAATTTTTAGAAAATTATTGTGTTTAATGTCCTATTTATTTTTAGTAAAGGTTTTTCTTACACCTATGTAGTTCCTTTAGAGCATGAAAAATATTAGGCAATTAGAATTGAATGTAGCAAAACTGTTTTCCTTAAAAAAAAAAAAAAAAAAAAAGTGTAATCATCTAACTACTTTTTTCATACACTTATTTTACGTAAATGTCACTACTATTGATAATGGTAATTTCTTAAAAAAGTAAATTATTAATAATATTAGGCTTACTTAATATTTTGATTCTATGTAAATATGAGTGCCTTTATTTAAAAATTGTCGATTATTTCTGGTAAAAAGCTTAAGAATTTCAGGAATTTGTGTCTTCACGAGGATACTTTTCTTGTATTCTGTTATCCTTACATTCATGTTGTAATTATTTTCCTGGTGATTATAGCCTGCTGTTGCAATAATCAGCATTTGAAACAACTGTTTATCATGTAAACGAAAAAAAGTAGCAAAATATTGGCACAGGAAGGATTCAGGCCCTTCCACAATTGAATGACTATTTGAAACTCCCTTTTGACTATGCAATTATTTTTTTCTATTAGAGCCATACCACTTGGCATTTTTTTTTTTTTCCCTCCTTCATATTTTCTTTGTGCAAAGTGTCTAAATTTTGTTTTGGCTTTTTTCCTGAATGGATTCTTCTTTACTGCACTGGACTTCATGACTGTGGATTTGCCAAAAGATGAAGATATGGCTATCCTATTTTGCAAGAAAAAAGTGTTCTTCATCATAAAAAAGGGGTAAGAAAAAAAAAGAGTGTATTTAAATAACCACCACATAAAATTAAAATGTGATTTAAAGTCAAAATGGGTATGTAATCTTCATTTTTGGCAGAAAGCAGAAGGTGCTCGACTACAAGTAGGGCTTCTTGAATCATGCATTTCTTTTTTACTGCTGTATGGTACATTTACATAGACTATTCAGAAAGTAACTTATGTTTTAGAATAAAAGAAAAACAAATGAAAGTAAACATGCATGGACGCCTGCATGCTATTCCTCCTTATCACCGAAGCGCTGTGTTGCAAGCCAGGCACACGCAAGTGTCTCACAAGTGACGAACTTTACCCAAGTCTCATCTCCTGTTACAACACGATTAAGAAGTGAATCACTGTTCATGGTACACTCGGAGAAATGTCAAAGCTGCTGCCATGTGCTGCTTTTTGTGGTCTTCTGACAAGAGTTTTGGTACCCATCTGGCAAAAAAATTGTGATAGCCTAGATCTTGCATCACAACACCAAACAATAAAGTTCGTGAAATTTGATGAAATTCTGAAATTGTGAAGTAGTGGATTTCACGAATCTTTTCAGTGATTTTTTTCTACGATTGAGCATTAACAATGCTCGCCCAGCCACTTCACGCTTCCTCGTGAAAATTTGTGCGACCAATCTTAAACATGACGCACCATTGTCTCATTCTGGCTTCACTCATTATGTCGTTTCCATACACCGTACAAAGTTCCCAATAAATTTCAATTGCTCCCAGGTGTTTTACTTCGCAGCTGGTGGAATTTTCTATTCTATATTTTAAACATTCACAGTGAGCAAAGCAGAGGCAATACATGCCATCAACAATTACAACCAGATGCATAAGAATTCAGTAGACACTCCAATACCAAGATGGGGATATTAGCACTATCTCTCACCACGCAGCAGCGAAACGTAAGTTGCTTTGTGAATAGCCCTCATATATATAGTGTTAAGAGTAAATGTTATGGAGTTTTGTGAATCAAAGCTTGCTTTAAATTAATCACAATACACGATTAATTGGAATAATTACATAAGAGCTGAATGTTAAAATTGATAAATTCAAAAAAAAAATGTCAAAATTGCTGAAAACTTATTAAAAAAGAAAAAATTAATTATGTATACAACATGCTTTCCCTGCAGTGAGTTTTTGAAGGATCTTGTTTGAAAACTAAAGAATGTTTCTTGTTGTTGTTCATAAAATTTCTGTTTTGCCTAGTATCAAGCCAAGGCATAGGGAAAGAAGCAGGAAAAAATACTCTAGTATGATATTTAAAATGCTTAATATGGCTTTTATGGAAATATACTGACTATCCTTCCCTAAAGGATCAAGAGACTAAAATTACTGAATTTAACATGAGTGCTAAATGAATTTTTTTCTTTTACAACATAACCTTCTTGTCATTACATTGTTACATAATTTCCCCCCTGCTGTCATAATATAATAAAGTAGGTAATTTAATGTTGGTCTTCGTTATCCTTCAGCTTGCTTCATTTTTAAAGAAAATGGCAATCATCAGATAGTTCAGAAAATTACCTTGCACATTTTAAAGTTTTATTTTATAATAGATCAGTAATATGATTGGTTCATGAGAGGTTTAACATCTGAAATAAATTACTATTTCATTTGCTTTTAATATACAGTACAAAGTCCATAATCCGGACAACCATTATCCGAAATGATCTATAATCTGGACCTCAAAGCCACAAACTTTTTTTTATGCTTTACGCATGCACGAAATGCATTTATGCATGCACATTTAATGTATAACAGATGGTATAAGCTAGGCTAAAATTATCATTACTGATTCTAAGGCATTTTAATTAATGTTGCAGATTGTGCTGTTCCTTAATCTTCTAATTGGATCCGGTTTATTAATTTTTTGAAGACTGTTAGAGCAATTTTATAAAAATTAAGCTTGAACTTTCGATTATATCAAAAAGAGTTTCCAATTCTGGAGCTGCCAAAGGATCTACAAAGCGAAAGCATGTTCGATGTACCGCTTCCAATAGTGAACAAAGTGACAGAGAGGTTATTGAAAACGAAAAAATTTCAATTGACAAGTTAGTCGGTATTTTTGACACAGCAATTACAGGACTTGAACAGTAGAACTTTGTAACTGAACAAGAAATTATGTCTGTGTATAGAATTAAAGAGAAAGTATTAGCACAAAAAAATGAAGCAACTTAAACAAGTTACATTGAAAGAAATGTTTAATAAAGTAAAATAAATATTAAGCTTTTTTTGTAACTTCTGATACCCTTTAGATCATAATTGCTCATTATTTCATAAATTATGGTTTCATATTTTGAATTGTATAATTTCTGCATGCCATCTTACCAGATTTTAAATTGATGATCTATAATCCAGAAAAACCCCTAATCCGGAATCGGCGAAGTCCCTACGAGTTCGGATTATGAACTTTGTACCGTATAAGTTTTTAACCTAGTCCATTTAGCATGAAAGGGTGATTTATATATTTAGTGAGTCTTTGCTTTCTTGTGTAGCATTTGTATTTAAAACCTAAATTAAATTTCTTTTTTCAGACCTGATGATGCTAAGAATGAAGTGATAAAACCGGATACTATTGTAAAGAATCTTGCTCATCTGGTTGATATGTTAGTTCTAAAATCTAAGCGTGAAAACTCAGCAAAATGTAATCCAGAGAATTCGCACAAATATCCTCAAGACCATAAAAAACAAATGAATCGAACTCCTAAGCCTATGGAACAGCCACCTGTTCCTGTTCCAGTTCATTGTGACATTTTTCCATTTAGATTTGGTGCAGGACCTGATGGCAGTTAATGGAGGTATCATATTGACTGTGTTTATTTATACTTTGAACTGAGTTCAAATTAGTAGTATTTTGTTAAACCCTGTGACAAAATCAGTTGTTTATCAATAACTGACTCAATAAGCAGCTCTGCTGTAAGTTTTGTTCAAATTAGTTAATGACTGATAAAAAGAGGGTGTCATCACTTATCATATTCAAATACAGTGTATTTTGGTGACATCATTTGTTAAAAATATGTTAGTTTCCAGTTTTCTAGACATACCCTCTGAGTGGCATGGCATCTTGGTTCTGCTCATGGAGACCTGTATTTAAACAGCTTCTGTAAGCTGTATTTTTATAATTTATTTTAGTCTCTGCTTTCAAAAACTTCAGTTCATTAACCCTTTCTGGCATGCTATCTTTTAAATTTGGAATTTTGATTTAAAAAAAAAAAAAAAAAAAAAAAGGTAAGCAGTCTAATTAGGCCTAGAGGAGTACACAAGTAAAATTTTGTGAACATAGCACTTATCGTTTTAATTCTGTGAGTGTGCCTGCCACACTGATTGGATAGAGTTTCAAAAAGAGTGTTGAAATGAGCATTGCTGGGAAGCGCATAAAAGAGTAAGAGAATTTGCCTACGATTAAAAAACACTAGATTCTGAATACAGCAGCATATTTAGCACTATCCAGGGTTTGATATGGGGAGACCTGCTACTCTACACCCTAAAAAGTAACTTGGGTATATGATATTTAGATTTCATATTTACACTTTAGTCTATTTTTTTCAGGGTGGTACTTTTCGAAGAAAGTGACACCACCCTTGACAAAGCACAATACAATATTGCTTGTTTTGCTCATGTACTGGGATTCACTATCTGAAAACAATTCGTGTAGCACTTTCAGTGCTTTAGAAATGGTCAGCCCTCTCTGATCCGTTTGGAAAATAATTAAAAATCCGAAAAAAAATAACATAATAATATTATATCTACAATTAGAAATTATAAACTATAAAATCAAATTAAATAAATGTCTACAATTCAAAACTATTAAATGTAGTGCTAGCGAAACTTTGAACGAAAGCGAAAGAGAAAAAGAAAACTGCTCTAGTGAAAAACAAAACAGCTAACTGATAAAATTACCGTTGACCTTCAAAAAATCACCCCAACAATTTGTTAGTTGATAACCAAACATCCCCTCAAAAAAAAGAGGGAAAAAAAGAGAGGGAGAAATGAACAAAGAGAAAAACAGGAAATGAAACATAGATGTGGACCCACCTTTCCGTTATCAATGAACTGACCGATGAGATGCAAAGAAACAAAGAATACAGACCCCTAGTTGTCCTAGATTATCAATGAGCCCATCCTGGGCACACCTGGTGTTTGCCGTTTGATTTTAGGCAAGATTTCAAGGTAAAAATTTAAAACTAATATAGAATAAGGAGATTAGCATACAACCAAAAAAATAACATAAATAATACATATAAATAATACATATAAAAAATAACATAAATAACACACAAAATAATGATTATTGAAAAGTCAAACAACAAGAATCAGTGTTATATTTGTAAATTTTGCAAGACTAGTTTTGATGATTTGACTATAGAACCAACATCCTCAGCTGCCAAAGTGCAAAAATGCAATTTTTGCTTGTTATTTTAACCTAAATTATAGGAGCTCCAAACAGGCCTTTTTTTACTTCCTTGTACAAAGTAAAAAGGAAGTATTGTAATCGCGAAAAGTTTCAGGCAGCATATTTCAACGAAAATATCCATTTTGACCTCTATCGAATGCAATTTAACAATGTTTTTGCATGATATCTGTACTTAAGGACAGAATAAAATACTCTTTTCCTTCGAAAAAATTATAAAACTGCTTTAAAATGAATTCTGAAGAGAATTCTTCGTGGCGTCTGTACGAACGTACGTACGTATCTCGCAAAACTCAAAAACGAGTAGCCTCAGAATGTTGAAATTTTGTATATAGGACTGCTATAACATGTAGATGTGCACCTCGTATTTTGGTTGCAATCGGCCGCATAAAAATAATGTATATAAAATATATTTATATATATATCCACTCTGTTACCCGGCTCAGTGATCTCAGTTTCTTTACTCTTATATGTTTGTAAATTATACATTTTTTGCTTTAAAAATGATTGTAGTATGTTGTTTTTATCTTCCGATTAAGGTTTTTTATGCCTTTAGTAAATCTGTATGCAATATTTTTTAGAATTATCAACAATTTTAAAGTTGTCTAAGTGCCGCTAAGCCTTTTTTTAGGCGGCCATTGATGTTTACATTTTGAAACAGGAGACTAGTGGATTTGTTGCCAATCTAGAGAAACTTAGCTTTGCAACAACAAAGATAACACATTCATTTATATTGCCAATTAAATCATGCTTTATTCTTTCTGGAACTTTTTCGAGAAGGAAATAAGGTTTAAGATTTACTCCATAATTTTTAATATAGATATTTGGAGTTTTTATGTATTTTTGCCTTCTCGCGAAGTGAAGTGAGAACTGAATTAATTAAATGAGAAATACTCAATCGTCTGTGAAAAACTGTTTTTTTTTGTTTTGTTTGCTTAATTTTCTTTTATACATCATTCTAGCTTTATTATAGTATTTGAATAGAACATGGGCAATGTTAGAGAATTCTATTCTTTAAATGATATAAATTTTGTGCATTATGAGTTATAATATGAACAAAATATATAATTAACTTTTATAATTTTGGATTATATAACATTTAACTTAGTTTCCATTATATAATTATTATATAAGTTAACTATTATATAATATTAATACTGGTAAGTGAATCTAGCGCCGAGTGTCGCTATGGTAAACAAATACTAGAGTGAATTTTAAAAAATGGATTTATTCTATTGTTGTATATGCGCTGTTGGCGAAGTAGATTTAATTCAATCCGATAAGTTTAAATGAAATGCAAGAAAAAATGTGCATAATTTAATATTCTGTACAAGGAAGTCATGTGGTGTACACATCAGATTTTTTATATTTACATTATTAAAGAAAATAAAAAAGCAGAATATTTTAAATTATAATCTAAGTGACATACCAAGTGTAAAAAATTCTCATGGCCAGATAAGGTTGGTCATGCCACTCAGGGAGTTAAAATATTCTAGTTTATGTAATATTTTTTTTTTTTAGATATATATATATATATATATATATATATCTATATATTATATGGATTCCTTTTAAATTTGCGAAAGATCATGCTAATTTTCTAAAGCATACATATTACTTATCAGCAATAATTAAAATGTGTTTTTCTTGTAGTAAAATGACACTTGAGAAAACTGTGAAATATGTATATAAATTATAATTGTTTATAAAACTTTAATTTATTTGTTAAGAAAAATTCTATCTTGTTTAATTTTATCTTGTTAATTTTATCTTATTCCATTAATTAATTCTAGCAGGAATTTTTTTTACAGAAACCTAATGTAATTTTTGTTATATTTTATGGGCTATTTAATCAAATTTTTTCTGTGAAACTAGGAAATTATACCTGTTTCTTTTAAACATGAATTAAATAGACCTTTAAACTCATACAGCAATTTAAAATGTTGCAGGTAATGTATTAAATTTCTTTCTTGGTGAATGTTTTTTAAAAAGCGGAAATATTTCATATGCACTTTAAACTCCAAACAAGTGTATGTTTGTGATAAAAGTATGTGTATACAAGAATTACTAAATACCGCAGTATGTTTAAAAAAAATATTAGGTCTACCGGAAAGTTATGTCCTTTTCATGACAACAATTTTCGACACATAAGTACATGTTTATTTGTTGTATGTTCGGCTCTCTATTTTTATTGCTCAATGCATACATACTGAAGTAGCAAGTTAACTAAAACAAAGTTGATTCACGTTAATTTTAAGTGTGCAGCGATAGTGTACCCATGGCCACTGATAAAGTTCATTTATGCCACTGTATTTTATACGAATTTCTTCAAGGAAGAAATGCTACAGAAGCATGTAGAAATTTATTGAAAGTGTTTGGTGAAGATACAGTTTCTGATAAGGAATGCAGAAGATGGTTCGAAAAATTTGAAACAGGTGATTTCAAACTTTCTGATAAGCCACGTTCATCTTTGATTGGTGACGGTGTTGTTACAACCATGTTGGAGCAAGATCCTTTTGTGACAACATCAGAGATCACAGAAAGGCTTAATTCAGATCAACAAACCATTTCGAACCATATTCGGAAGATAGGATTTTGGTGTGGAAATATTCAAGACGGGTGCCACATGAATTAAGTCAGAAGAATTTGGATGATCGAGTCGTCATATGCACATCTCTGTTTGCTTTGAACAAAATGAAGCCATTCTTGAACTGGATGATAACTGGAAATGAAAAGTGGATCGCCCACAGAAACATCATAAGGGAAAGAGCATATCGTGAACCCAGAAAACCTAGCCCTCCAACCTTTAAACCAAATTTGACCCTGAATAATGAGAATGTTGTGTATATGTTGGGGCATTCTAGGACAGTACATTATGAGCTTTTAAAACCAAACAAAAAGCTCAATTCAGAGAAGTGCTGTCAGCAATTAGACAATTTTAAGGACAACAGTCCAAGAAAAGAGGCGGGCGATTTTCAGTGGGAAGGCATTGTGCTGCATCATGATCATGCCAGGCCACATGCTGCTGCTTTGGGGACTCGTCAAAAAATTGCAGAACTAGGCTGGAAATTTCTGTCACATACACCATATTCCCCGGACTTAGCACCCTCTGATTATCACTTGTTTTTTTCCTTACAAAATTTTTTGAAGGGCAAAAAATTCAAAAATGAAATAGATGTCAAACAAGCACCAGCTCAATTTTTCGCATCAAAAGTTACATCATTTTTAAAAAATGGGATATACAAATTGCCCTTCTGCTGGCAGAAGTCATTAATAATAATGGTAATTATATTATTTTAATAAAGTTTATTGATGGTAAGAAAAGTTTGTATTTTCTTTTATTCCAAAAACAGACAGAACTTTCCGGTAGACCATATATCATTTCTTTAGTATTCATTGAGCCTTATGATAAATATAAAATGGTTGCAAATTTAAAATTTTTCTTTAAAAAAACTGTTAAGAATGCAAAGAGTGCAATTTTTTTTTTTTTTTTCAAATTTTTTGTTATTGTTAAATAGTTCATCTTACTATTATTTCCATCATTTATGCATACCAAATATATTTTTCTACCATTAAATTCCTTATCCTGTTATCATCAGCTTCTGCACTTTCTTGACTGAAACATTTCTGAGTTTTTTCATTATTGTTTTAAATCTGTGAATACTTTTTTATGCTAACATTTTAATCTTAACATAATATGCATTTTGGTATGATGTCAAAGTGAAAGATGAGGTTTTATATAGCAGAGGATTAGAAGAGGAATAGGTAGTGGAATTTTCACTCTAGTTATAGAATTAAGAAGTGGTGAACCCTCTTATCATCTGAAATGCAATATGTTTAAAATGATTAGATTTTAAAATGAAAAAAAAAAGAAAGAAAGAAAAAAGAAAAAAAGAAAATACACTGGTAGAAGAAATTAAAGGAAAAGTTATAAAATCCCATCTAAATTGAATGATTTTCAGTTAAGGACATGAATCTCATATCCTTAACTTGCTTTAAAATGAAGCTTAAGGCTTGAAGTCCTTAACTAGCTTTAACTTATCATGCTCAACATACCTGGAAAATACAGAATTAACTTATTTCTGCAAAAAATAAATTTAAGAATCTTAAGAAATGTGATATAAAGGGAAGTAGGGAAAAGTTGGTGTAGCAACTTTTTAGAAATACATTAAAAAAATAATTTGTGTAGTCACCCCTAACCAAAATGCAAGCTTTTTAGTGATTTTCCATGCTGTGTGTTCGATTGTCCAGAATTTCTTGCTGTAGCAAAGTGTATTTGCAATGTTGAGTGCCTTGGGGCTTCTGGAGAATGCTAGATAGTGGCTGCAGTGACGTAAGTCAGCATCCTAGTGCAGCCCACAAATGGTCTGTCTGATGTAAATCTGAAAAATATGCTGGTTACTTCCATCCACTGGGTTCCACTGCCTCAAGATAATCAATCAGTAGTGCAGCATGATGGTGATGAGTATTAGCGTACCAGTTGCACAATTCCCCCAAACTACCTGGTATAAGGATCAAGAAGCCCATCTGTATATTCAGCATTCGTATTTGCGCTTGTAAAAGTATCTAGATCAGTATGCCCGTTCAAAACAATCTTCGGATAACATGATTCCACTGCCTTTTTACTAATGTCTTTCATGGGTATTATTAGGCTTCTTGCACTTGCTTTGTTTCACTTCCTGCAGACTGTAGGACAATCTGGAACCATTCTGTAAACAAAAAATTCGATTTTCTAATAAAGAGAACTCAGCTGTATTCCAATCCTGATGATCTCTGCATCTCTGCAGCCAGGAATATTTCAGCTTAAAGTTAATCAGAAACAAATTGTGGATTTTCTTACATATAGCCCTCTCTTATGCAGCCTGTCACTTGTGATATAAAATAACTCACATTTGTTTTCGAATACTTGCATTATTAAAATTTATTTATTTAATATATTTGGGCCTGATACATTTTGTATTTTATTTTAAGCCTTGCTTGTTGTAAAATTAATATCATCAAAATATTCTTTGTGCCGCCCAACAGGGATATAGTGGTTAGAGACGCTGACTGCTGTACCAAAGAGCACAGGCTCGAATTC